CCCACTGTAGGACATCTTCTTGATGGCCACCACCTCACTATTCCGGACATCTCGGGCCTAGAAGACCAGACCAGAAGGTAGTGAAGGCTCCTGGTAAGAACTGGGCAGCGGGAAGACTTGCTGGATAGGGCAGGAAAGGCTGGTGTGGTACAGTAGTGTAGAGGGCTGTGGACCCACAGCAAGAAGAATGCAGTGCCCATCCCTACCCCACTCTCCTAAGTCCCAACTCACAAAGTACACAGCTCCAAAACTGCCATGGCCAATTTCCCGGAGATCAGAGAAGAGCTTTTCAGGGTCATCCTTGAAGAACAGCTCAGCCACATCGGGGTCCTTCAGGCTCCCGGCCCGGCCCCCAGCTGGCATGATGGCCCCTGGGGGCCCTGAGAGTGGGGCCTGACCTGGAGAATGAAGAGCAGACCCTTAGGGCAAAGATGGGACACCCAGAGAGAGAGGAAGGGGCCTCTCAAGTTTCTGCCTTCTCCTCCCCTAGTTCCCTGATGAGGGGGAGGCACCGCAGAGGAAGGGCAAGGGGGAGATTAGGAACAACATCAAAGCTCCAAAAAAATGAAGTTGCCCTGGCAACCAGAGCACGGGGGCCGGGTCCCTGGAGTCCCTAAAACTGTTAGGAAGACTGAGAGCTAAGCATCCTCACCACCCCCAGCCCTCAATGAGATCCATTTTGCCACAACCTTTACTTCTCCCCGCAAGAATAAAAGATCCCGCCTCCCAGCCAGAACCCCAGATTCCCAAGTGTCCTGTTCCACAAGTCCTATACCCCAAATACTTCCAGGCACCTTCCTGTCCCCCTTGGCGTCGAGGCCCCCTCCTCCCTCAACCTCTCACACCCTGGAAGAGAGCAGGAAACAGCCAGGCCGGAGGCAGTGGAAATCCGGCCATTGTTAGAAGTGGGTACTGGCCCAGAAGGGCCAGAGGACTTGCTCTCAAAAAGGACTAGGGATGCTGTGGTAGGGAGGAGATGCGGAACGGGACGGGCAGGGACAGAAACGGCACCTGGCTTTGGGGGCCCCTCTGTGACCTGGGCCGCCTTACTTGTCCAGTCCAACTGCATATGCATCATGCACAGGTGCAGGACATTTGTGGTGTCCAAGTAACATTTATTGAGCATGTAAAGTAAGCACCTTACATGCATCTCTCTCATTCAATCCTCACCACAACTTTATGAGGATTTACTATTACCCTTACCTTGCAGATGAGGAAACAAGCTCAGAAAAGGTTAAGTCTTGCCGAAAGCTGGTCCCCTATGCTAGACATGAAATAAGCAGGGCGGGAGAGTGGTCACCATTTCACAGATGAGGTGACTGAGGCATAGACAGGAGGCAGGATTTCTCCAAGGTCAGAGAACAGGATCTTCTCTCCAGTCAGGCCAGTGTGCTTATTACTGTCTTAGCAACTCACCAACTCACCTCAAGCTCATCCCTCTCCTGCAGGAAGCCTCCCTTGACCACTCTAGCCTTTGGGGGGAGCTCCTAGAGCACCCAGCCCAAAACCCAGAAGCTCCTGCAGTACAAGGAAGCCAAGGACCCCGCCCCTTTCTCCCAGGGAATTCCAGGCCAGGCTCCTGGCTAAGCACTTGTTGGAATTCAGGCACAAAAGAGCCTTCAGCAGAGTTGGACTCCCAGGGCACACAGAGTTCTAGCTCCTTTAAAGCACCTAACAATTTAGCATGTGATTATATTCTGTCGTGCATTGTTTCCTGTTGTGTTAATTTTGTCTCCTTAGCCCATCTGGAAGCTGGAGGGCAAGAAGTAAGCCTGACTCTCGCGTGGGCCCCCAGGGTGCAGAGGGCTCAGAATAGCCTGGGAGATTGATTGACTGCCTTCAGCCAAGCCCTCAGCAGCTCCCAAGCTGCTCAAAACAGGCCCCTTTCTCCATTCTCCTGCCAGTAACCCTGCCAAGCACCCCTCACCCCCACCACACACCCACACACAAAGGCAGGTGGCTCACAACTTGCCAAAGCAATCTTCTTGACCTCTTTACCAGCACCCAGCCCAGAACACCAACCCAGGACCCCAAGCCACATATAAGGGATGCCAACAAAACATCATGCAGGGCCTCTTCCTCAAATAATGAATATTTGAGCCATTACCAAGGTCTGTGCTAAATCACAGCCACTTTCTAAAATGGACAATGTTATCTCCATTCTGCAGATGAGGAAACCCAAGTCTGTCCCTAAGCAACACTACCAGTACATCTCACCAGCAACATACCACAGGGTTTTCAGTAAGTTCCTTATACTTGGTCTTCTCTTTGGTAAAATGGATTACAGCCTAGGGCTGTTGTGAGATTTTTAATGAGATCTCAAACCTAGGAACACTAGGCAGACACTTGGCGTATGGATTCTTCCTTCCCTGCCTCCAGGGTCACCACAAGGATTTAATACTTTGGAGATCATCCTACCCCAGCAGCTTGGCTTTAACTGTGAAGAGACACCACTACAGCTATCATCTGTCAAAAGAGAGAGCCCTCTCAGGAACCCAGGCCAAAGAATGGAATCAGGGTAAAGATGAAGGTCACAGTAGAGAGAAAAATCCACGAGACCAGAAGACAGGAGCCAGAGCCTCCCATCAGGAAAAGCTTCTGAGTCTAGCCCTCCTAAAAAGGAAGCTCTTCTCCCCCTCATTCTTAAATCTCACCCCAACTCATTCTCCTCTGGATCCCTGGCCAAGAAGAGATGCCAAGAAACAGGTATGGAGCAGGGGCAAAACTTGATCAAGAACTTGGGTTCAAATCCTGATTCTGCCATTGTGTGACCTTGGGTAACCTCTCTGGGCCTCAATATTCTCAACTGTAAAATGGGAAGACAGCAACAAAAGAAGCCCCCACAGGGTGAATGGAGGGGGAGGTGTCACATGAGAGAACAGATGTAAAGCACTTTGTAAATGACAGATCGCTTGACAAATGTATGAGATTACACCATCAGCAAGAGGTTGGAAAGTAATGATATAGCTGGGAGAAAATATTGCCAGGCATTCGAAAGGACAAGAAATCCGACCAGACCATGCCTAAAAAACAGATAAGTGGACCCACCATGGAGATCAAAGGCAAGGGAATCAACACCCAAAGCAATCCAGAGAAAGGGGTATAATCACGGAGAACAGGTAGCTGTGAGGGGCAAAGTGAACATGGGAGAAGACCAGAAGAGTACAAACCCATCTGATTAGCTCAAGCACCCTAGGGCGTGACCCCCATGACATCAAAGACCCTGTCACCTGATGCTCCCCCATCAGACACATAATGAAGGAGGAACAAGGTGGCAGCAAAAGGCACGGCTAGCCAGAGGCTGACCACTGGCCCACTGGGCTTCATCCTGAGGAGAGGGCCTATCCAGGCCCAGTTCCTCAAAAAGGAGCACCCTTTCTTCTCAATGCTAGATACAGGGACCCGCGCCCCTGCACCCCGTGTCTCACCTGGTAGGGGTCACTATGGTGCCCCAGCGCTTCCGCCTCCTCCTGGGTTCCTCCAGCGGCTCTGCCAAGCAGGGAGAGGGGCAAGGAGACCTTTCCCCTTGCCACCTCTTCCTCGGCTTTCGCCCTTCCTGAGGGGCGGGCCCGGGAAGCCTCCCCTGGAGGGGAGGGGGTGACAACCTGATCTGACCTCGCGGTCCAGTCCTCCTCCTCCTCGAGAGCGACAGTTGCTGAATCCCGGATTTCTGGTTGTGGGGTCTGAACCCCAGATATCTGAACGAAGGGAGGCTGAATTTGATATCTGAACGCGCGGGGAATGAACCCCGGATACTGGTGCACGCAGGGGCCTGAACCCCAGATTTTTGAAATCCTATGAAACAGAGCCCCAGGTTTAGAGAGGTTGGGACCCGAGTCCTGGATATGTGGGGTCTGAGGGGCTGATGCCCGGATATTTGAGAAGCGAGGGGTCAAGCCCGGAAATTCGCGACCGAAGGGCCTGAGCCCCAGGTCTTCGGCCACCGACAGGGGGCCCACCCCGAGGACGTCCGGCCGCACGGCCCCTCTCACGCCGGGGTCCGAGGGTGACAGCCCTCACTCCCGCCCCGGCCTCCTCCCTTCTCCCTTCTCTCTCCTGGGGGTAGCTGAAAGATTGTAGCTAAGGACGGTCCCCGCGCCTTCTCTCCCTCTCCTCTTCTCAGTCTCAGCCTCTCTCCGCACCACAGCCCCGGTCTCGTCCCGGTCTCCCTCTCCCTCTTCCTCCCAATTCCAAGATGGAGACCGGGCGGGAGCGCGCAGGCGCGGTAGGGACGCCGGGCCAAAGGGGGCGGAACCTAAAATGAAATAGCCCCGCCCCTGTATCCTCACTGCTGGGGCCAGGGAGATGGGCAGCCACCGAGTCAGAGTGCGCGCGCGCTCCGCCACGCGGACCCTCGATGGGAGGAGGCGGGGAGGAGGGCTAGGCTTGGAGGGGGAGGAGCTCAGCACGCAGTCCGACAACTGGCCGTGGAGAGGGCTGCAGCGCATGCGCTCGCCCCGCCTTAGCGAGGAGCCCGAGCTTGTTGCTAGGGGAAGCTTTGAGGGGGCGCGAGTGGAAGGACAGAAGCCGGGATCTGCGCCTGCGTATAAGGTAGCGGTTGGGAGGGGCAAGGGAAGGAGACTTGCTGGGCGCAGAAAAGGCGGGAAAATGGACTGCTCTGGTTAGTAACCATACAGCCAGGGCGTGGACTCCCAAGTTCGAGGAATCTTTGCTGGGAAAGCTCAATCTGTCAAATCCCTTCAGGAAGCAGGCCGTTCACAATTGCATGACCTGCACAAGGTCACACAGCCTTTATGTCAAAGCATCCCCATGGTTCTCTCAACTAGTTGGAACTATCGATTTTCTTTCATAGAAGAAAACAAGACATAAGGTGCCAGAGCTGCGATCAAAACCAGGTGTTTTCCAAAGGCAAGTCACAATAGAGGATAGAGCTGTAGTAATCCACGCCCTAACTGAAGAGTCAACAAGGAAAAGTCCCCCAAACCTGTCTACCGTGAAATTCCCACCTCAACCCAATCCCCAAAAAACACCCTGGGCAACACTGGGCAAAAAAGCCTTTTATTTTCCCCAACATTCCAGCTCTCCATTTTTTGAAACATTTCTTCCAACTTAGAACAAAGTCTGGAGAAGTTGATTCACACCTGGAGAAAAAGAAGATTAAAAACATGGGCAGAGGGGCGCTTGGGTGGCTCATTCTGTTAAATGTCTGCCTTCAGCTCAGGTCATGATCCTGGAGTGCTGGGATCGAGCCCCACGTTGTCAGGCTCCCTGCCCAGCGGGGAGTCTGCTTCTCCCTCTGCCTCTGCTCCTCCCCCTGCTCGTGCTCTCTCGCTCACTCTCTCAAATAAATAAAATTAAAAACCGAAAAAACAGGGCAGATCAGAGGGCTGTTGGGGGAAGCTCTGGGATGGCTGCAAAAGAGTGAGGAAGGAGCAGAGGAAGTGGGTACAAGCACTCATCCCAACTGGGTGGGTGGCTTCAGGACCCTAGGATCTGCTAGGAGCCAGAAAGCCTTCATTTCCCAGTCCACTCAGATCTAAGAAAAGCTAGGAGGGTTCCACCATCTCCTATCCCAAGTAGGTGGAGCCTAGCCCTGAGCAAAATAAGCAAAGCTGATCTTGAGCATCCAGTTCCTCTGGCCAGAGCCCTTCCCTGGGCTTGGGCTGTTTCAACTTCTCCCATGGCTATCTCCTAGGGTACAGCAGCTAGTCATTGAAGCTGAGAACAGTTTAAGAGCTGGGTGCACAACAGATAACTCTCAAATTATATGACCTCCTCCTCATAGAGTGAGACTTTTTTACAGAAATATTTTTTTCCTTAATGAGCGGACACATGGACTAGTTAGCCAATATGTTCCCCGCCCACTGCCACCTTTGTGAGGTGTGTTCCTCACACTACTTTGCTATTAGCAAAATCAACTTTTTCTAAATGCAGTGAAGGCTGATGGAAAAGGGAAAGTGTATGTAAAATGCTTGGGCACATACTATGTGCCTAGTAAATGCGCATCATCAATCCTTTTGCGCTGTTCAAGGTGAGTTTTACAAAATTTGCATCATAAAACTGGGTATCAGAATTTCAGGACAAAAGCAAGGCAAACAAAATTCATATCCAGGATGCATCATCAAATGCGAACCCTGTTAACTCACCACTGTTGCCAAAAAGTGAACTACAGCTATGGATGAATCTTAAAATCAGAATGTTAACGGCAAGAAGTCAGTCACACAAGAATATGTATGATTCCATCTACGTAAAGTGCAAAAATACGTAAAACCAAACCATATTGTTTAGGAATGAGTCTGTCTCAGTTATAACTGCCACCTCCACCCCACCCCCTATTCCCACAGGACTGGGGCGAAGAACCTTACCTGAGAACAAGATGGGAACTAGGCCAGTGCCCTCAGAGCCGGGTTCTAGACCAGTGGGACTCCCGGCGTGGGTGGAAGCACAGAGCAGTGAGACAGCAGAGAAGGCCACAGAAGAGAAGCAGGAAGGAGCCCAAAACAAACAGTCTGGAGCCACACAGAGCCAGCTCCTCCTAAGGATGGGCAAAGGGAGGGAAGGAGAAATGAATGAGTGGGAAGGAGGGTGGAGAATCTTCCTCTGGGAAGAAATCTTATCCCTGGGGCCAAGAGCTATAGAGAGAAGCCCCCATGAGGGGAGAGGGCTCTCTACATCCAGGGAGCAACCAAAGGGAAAATGTAATTTCTATACAAGCTAATTGTCTCAATGGTCTACGAACTGCTTTCTTGCCCAGCCACAGAAGTGAACCCCCATAATGTCTCCATTAGATGGGAAATTCACTACTGCCCACATTTTAAATGTACTCAAGCAGGCCCGGTCTGGAAACCAGTATTTTCTCTGATTCTAAGCTCCCAGGGGATGCTCCTTGCCAGGGTCTTTGCAAATGTGAGAGAAAAGCACATAGCAGCCTCCCAACTCTAACCTCTAACTGGTCTGTCTCCTCTACTCAGTCTCTCTCACCCAGCACCAACGGCCCCCATGGCCTGCAGTATCAAGTCGTAGTGTTTTAGCCTCAAGTCGCGGTGCCTGACAATCAGGCCCCTGCCTCTCCCCCTCAGTCATTCCTAAGCCCCTCCTCATGGAGTGCCCTCGAAGGCTGAACACTTCCATCTCCAGGCCCGTGCTCGTGCTTGTCCTTTTGCCTGGAATGTGTTTCCCCTCTCCTGAACCCCCTCTATTGCATTCTCTGCCCACATCTTCCTCCTCTTCAAGGGTCACCCTGAAAGGGCAGACAAAGCCTGGGACTGCAGTCAGAAGGCATAGGTTGAAATCCTGGGTCTGCCACTTAACCAGTTGTGTGGCCTTGGGCAATTCACTCCCTCTCTCTAAGCCTGTTTCCTCATCTGTAAAATGGGATAATAACAGCTACCTCAAAAGGCTATTTTAAGATCAAATGAGATAGTGAACCTGAAAGCACTTTGTACATTATAAACTACTGTACACAATTCTCTTTCTTAAATGCCACCTTCTCTGTGAAACACTCTCCATAAATGTTCAAGTTAGGGTTAATTGCTCCTTACTCTGTGTTTGAATAACACTTTGCTCACACCTCTATGATAGCGATTAGCCCATTCTGCCTCTTATTACAGCTTCTGCATTCCTTTAAGGTGGAGATCCTATTTTATTCTGTGTAAAGACAATCATTAATAGTCATAGCTGTCACTCACCCAATCTCTATTATGTAGCAGGCATTGTACTGGGCACCTGACATTCACTCTCATTCATCTTTATTTGTTGGCATCAGGAGATAGTATCATGTTTTCCATTTTACAGATGAGGAAGCTGAGGCTCAGAGAAGCTCAGATGCTTGGTCAAGGTCACACAGCCTCTGAGGCAGAATTATAGAGCCTGTGGCTTTTCTCCTAGGTAGAACTGCCCCCAGCGGCCTTCAAGGCAGAGCATTCAGCATGGCAGACTATGAAACCCCAACAACCTGAGGCTCTTACCGAGGTGAGCAACTTGGTGAGCACAAGGCCTTCGTGGCTCCAGACCCTGATACACTCCTCAGCCATCTCAGTACTCAAGGTGGCATTTCCTGCTCCCTCCTCTGAGCAGGAGAGGGGTGGCTGGCTGGAGGGCAGGATTCCTGGAGCAGCACTAAAATACAGGCAGGTTCCTGGGGTCCTTTCTGTGGTCACCCTGGCAGTAATGAGGACCAGCTCTCTTGCAGAAGATCCTATGAGAGGCAAAGAATAGGCAGTGGAAGAAGATGGAGGGTGGGGTGGAAGCCATTCATCTTCAGACTTCCATTCATTTCTAAGGCTTCCTTCAGTAACAGCTGTTTTGGCATTGAGTCTATTCAATAAAGTACTCTATATACTATCACTGTGTCATTGAGAAATGACAATAACTGTGTACCAATATAAACAAAAAATTAAGTTTGCTTACAATCAATAAAACAATCATGCCAATACTCACAAAGTTGCAGTGAAACTGTACACATTGCCAGTGTCAGTCTGTATAAACGAGCCTGTCCTTTTTAAGAAAGCAGTCCCTACTAGGTACCAAAATCCACAAAAAGGTTCACACCCCATTTCAAATTAGCAGGGAAAGGATGGTCTATTTAGTCAATGGCCTTGGGACAATTTCCATTCGGGGAAAAAAAAAGTTAGACTCATCTCACACTACAAAATAAAGTCCAGATGTGTTAGAGACCTATACAAACAAATTAAACAAAGCAAAACCCAAAGAAAATACAGAAGAATATTTTTTAAGTTTAAAGTGGGGAAGGCCTTCCTAAAAAAGACACAAGACCTATAAGCCTGAAGGCTTCTCTATGATGAAAGATAACTTAAAAAAAAAAAAGTAACAGAATGGATGAAAATATCCATTTTTTGTAAAGATTTATTTATTGGGGGGAGGGACAGCAGGAGAGACTCTTTTTTTTTTTTTTTAAAGATTTTATTTATTCATTTGTGAGAGAGAGAGAGAACAAGCAGGGGGAGAAGGAGAAGCAGACTCCCTGCTGAGCAAGGAGACTGACGCGGGACTCAATCCCAGGACCCTGGGATCATGACCTGAGCCAAAGGCAGATGCTTAACCATCTGAGCCACCCAGGCGCCCACAGGAGAAACTCTTTAAGCCGACTCCCCTCTGAGCGAGGAACCCATGGGACTTGATCTCATAACCCATGAGATCCTGACCTGAGCTGAAACCAAGAGTTGGGTGCTTAACAGACTGAGCCACCCAGGTGCCCCAAAATGCCTATATTTAATCGGCAAAAAGGTTAACAATCCAGAATATATGAGGATCTTCTAAAAATCAAGAAGATAAAACAAGCAACTTAAAAGACAAATGAGCAAAGTATACGAACAGGAAATTCATGGAGGCATGAAAATGGCCAAATAAACCTAACAAGATGTTCAACTCACTAACAATCAGAAGAAAGTAAATGAAAACAATCAGGCAATTTCTTTGCTCATTAAATTGGTAAAAATTAAAAAGACTGATAACAAGAGTTGCTGAAGATGTGGGGAAATGGGCACTCTCAATGAGTGACACCTTTTAGAAGACGATGTAGCTCTATCTGTTACAATTTTAAATGGGTACAGATTGTGACTGAGAAGATGCCCATCAAACTGTGGACACTGCAGGGGAGGTGGGACGGATTTTTACATGCGCTTTGTATACCTCTTTGTGGTACGAATCCACAACAAAACTAATTTGTCTATTAAAAAAACGTCCATACCCTTTGACTCAATAATACCACTTATAGAAACTCATCGTAAGGAAAGGATTCAAAAGAAAGATGCCAAGTATACCAAGATGTTTATTGTGACTTCACAAAAAAAAAAAAAAAAAAGGAAGCAATGGAGATGTTTAACACTAGGAAAAGCATTACAAATGATGGCCCAAGCACTTAATGGATCACCTTACATCCATTAAAATAATAACGTTCAGGCCAGGCAGAAATAAAAAAAAAATGATGTCATAAGTGAAAAAAGAGAAATAAAAACCAAGATGGATGTATATATATATATATATATATATATATATATATATATATATATATATATCATAATGACAACTATGAAATGCACATGCAAAACTGTCTAAGAGAACCACCCCGATTCTCTCTGTTCCCCAGACTGAAACAGTCACCATGTCCTCTCAATCCACTGCCAACATCTCTCTCAGATTAGTCCCCTTCTTCAACGGCATTGTCTTAGCTAGGGTGTCCTCATCATCCCTCTATTGCAACCACCTCCTACCTGCTCTTCCTGCCATTGGACACACTTTCACCAGGCAGTCAGCCAGCAGAGTGTGATCTTTTTAAAACAACAACAACAACAGGGCGCCTGGGTGGCTCCGTCGTTAAGCGTCTGCCTTCGGCTCAGGTCGTGATCCCAGGGTCCTGGGATCGAGCCCCACATCGGGCTCCCTGCTCCGCGGGAAGCCTGCTTCTCCCTCTCCCACTCCCCCTGCTTGTGTTCCTGCTCTCGCTGTCTCTCTCTGTCAAATAAATAAATAAAATCTTTAAAAAAAATACAACAACAACAAAACCTTGCTATTTTCCTGACAAAAATTTTGAGTTTGCCCAACGTACTAGATAAAGTTCAACTACCTGGGCTTGGCACACAAGACCCTCCAGAAGATTCTGTCTGCTTCCTCAAACACATCTCTTGCCACTGATTCAACACTCCCTCCCCTGCACCAGTCAAACTGAACCCCTTGAAGTTCTCAAACATGCCATTATGGTACCCATCTGCATGCCTTTCCATATGCTTGTCCCTCTGGCTGGAAGAGCACACTCCTAAACCTCCCTCAAGCCTCAGCTCAGGCACTGAATCCTTGGAAAAGCCTCCTCACTAACCCTGTTTGACAGACTCCTGAGTATTCCCACTGTACCTTGTGTGCTACTTTACACACTGAAAGGTATTTACTTCTGTTCACATCTGTATCCTTGCTAGACTGTAAGCAGCTTGAGGTGAGGACCCATGTCTTACACATCTCTATATTCCCCAAGCTTGGTACATAGTAGGTGCTCAGTAATTATTGCTTAGATGATGCAATCATAGGTGGATTATTTTTTATTTTGTTCAAAATAATCATTGATGATATTACTCTGTTTCTGACCATCATAAAAAGAACAGCGCTTGTTTGCAGAAGCAGAACTTGAGAAGCTGATCCTAAAATCCATACGGTAATTAAAGGGATCTGGAATAAGCAAAATAATTTCTAAAAAGAGAACAAAGTTGGAGGACTCGTATTTTCTGATTTCAAATTAATACAAAGCTGCAGTAATTAAGAGTGTGGTGCTACCATAAGGACAGACACATAAATCAATGGAATAGAACTGAGAGTCCAGAAATAAACCTATATATACATCCATGGTCAATTGATTTTTAATAAGGCTGCCAAGACTATTTAAAGGGAAAGAACAGTCTTTTCAACAAAACATGCTGGGACAACTGGATGCCCACCTGCAAAAGAATGAAGTTGGACCCCATCCTCACACCATTCACAAAAATTAACTCAAAATGAATCATAGAGCTAAATGTAAGAGTTAAAACTATAAAATTTTTGTAGAAAATATAGGGGTAAATCTTCATGAGGTTGAGTTAGGCAAAGCTTGCTTACTAAAAGCATAAGCAACTAAAGAAAAAATAAACACTTGGGGTGCCCGGGTGGCTCAGTCGGTTAAGTGTCTGCCTTAGGCTCAGGTCATGACCCTAGGGTCCTGGGCTCGAGTCCTGCATTGGGCTCCCTGCTCAGTGGGGAGTCTGCTTCTCCCTCTGCCCCTCCCCCCGCTCATGCTCTCTCTCTCTCTCTAAAATAAATAAAATCTTAAAAAAAAAACCACCATCAATAAACTGAAAAGACAACCCAGAGAATGGGAGAAAATATTTGCAAATCATACATCAGATAAGAGACTTGTATTTAGAAAATATAAAGAACTCATATAACTCAATAATTAAAAGGCAAATTATCCAATTTTTTTAAAAGGCAAAACTCTGAATATACATTTCTTGAAAGAAGATAGACAAATGACCAAGGAGTGCATAAAAAAATGCTCAGTATCATTAACCATGCCAATCAGAACCACAGTGAGATACTACTTCCCAATGACTAGGATGGCTAGAATAAAAAAAAGACAGATAATAACAAGTGTTGACAAGGACATGGAGAAACTGGAACTCACACACTGCTGGGGGGAAGCAAAATGGTGCGGCCACTTTGGAAAATGGTCTCACATTCCTCAAAAGATTAAACACAGAGTTACAGTATGACCCAGCAATTCCACTTCTAGGTATTTCATTTCCCCCAGGAGAAATGAAAATGTATGATCACACAAAATCTTGCATGCGAATGTTGACAGCAGCATTGTTCATAATAGTCAAAAAGTAGAAATAATCCAAATGTCAAACAACTGATGAATGGATAAATAAGATGTGGAATATCCATACAATGAGTTAATTCAGCAATAGAAACACAAAGTACTGATACATGCTATGATGGATGAACCTTGAAAACATACTGATTGAAAGAAGCCAGTCACAAAAGAGCACACATTGTATGAAATGTTCAGAATGAGCAAATCTACAGAAAAAGAAAGGTATATAGTTGCCTGGGTCTGGGAGGTTAGGAGGAAAAGGGGAGCGACAGCTAATGGGTACAGGATTTCTTTTGAGGTAATGAAATGCTCTAAAATTGATTGTGGTGATGGTTGCACACTTTTGTGATGATACGTAAAGCCACTGAATTGCACATTTTAAATGTGTGAATTTTGGGGTGCCTGGGTGGCTCAGTCGGTTGAGCGTCTGCCTTTGGCTCAGGTCGTGATCTCAGGGTCCTGAGATTGAGCCCCACATCGGGCCCCCTGCTCAGTGGGGAGCCTGCTTCTCCCTCCCCCCTCCTCATGTGCTCTCTCTCTCACTCACTCACTCTTTCTCTCAAATAAATAAAATCTTAAAAAAATTTTTTTCAATTTTAAAAATGTGTGAATTTTATGTTATATGATCATATATTAATAAAGCTGATGTACATATATTTACAAAATAAAAAGCAGGAAAAATTATCTCAAGTCTGTATATATCAGACACCTTCCTTTACTCTCATTCTTTGACCACACACATGTACACCTGGACATCAGAGACCTCCCCCCGCCACACACACACACGAAATTCACAAGGGAATCTTAGCCTCGGAAAGGACCTCAGAAGGCAGAAAGTTCCACCTTTCTCTCCTCCCTTTTCATCTCCCCAATCTCAGACAAGGAAACTGAGGCCAAATCTCACGCAGGAATCAGTGGCACCCACTGACTCCCTCCCCTCCCCCCATCATTTCCCCAAAAGACTTTAAGCTCTGTGGGAATGGATGATGTCTAATTTTTTCTGTATCCTCCATAGCACATGGAGCTGTGGTAAGAACAGAGCAGACACTCAGGACACTTGCTTAATTGAAGAGGACATGCTTGAATATCCCTGAGGAAAAAGAAGGTGCCTCTAAGAGGAGAAAGCAATAGGGATGAAGAGTGGTAAGAAAGAACATTAGGTCAAATCTACCCCATCTCGTCACATCTCCAAGGATAGACTCAAAGAACCTCAGAGCTGGAAGGGAAAACAGAAAACACTTAGAGGGAACCCACATAGTGTCACTGTGTTCACTGAATGTATCTAGTCCTTACTACAGCAGAAGTGACTAAGGCCTTGGGATATGCCCAAGGTAACCAGGCTGGGGAGGTCAGAGACAGAACCCATCCCTAAGTGTTCTGACGCCCAACCCACAGTCCTCCTTGATCTCACCTTTCAATCCCATCTGACTAGCCTGGACCATGGCTTGGAATGTCTGTGTCTTGTTCCTGTCTGGACCATGTCCGAAGTTCAAGGTGGTCAGTAAGCCCACGACTTGAGGCCCACGCCACTTCCCTGTGACTGTCCCATTCACGGGGCACAGGGTCAGCTGGCCAAAAGATCTCAAGAAAGAGACCCAGTCCTGTGTGCAAAAGAAAGGTGGGAGAGAGGTGAGGGATTAGCAGCATGAGCAGGCCTGTGTGAAAAGGATGAAGAAGGTACTCACCTGAGGGATGTCAGGGCTGCGCAAGCCAGTCCTGTGGGTGAGGAGGAAGCTGCCAAGGCCCAGGCCTGAAAGCCCAAGAAGCAGCAGGATCAAAGTGGCACAGACCAGAGGTGGGTGGTGGGCCAGACAGAGATGCAGGTTGTGCCCTGCCTGGCAGCTGCCCATGGAGAGGAGAGGGGTCTGGGCCTCCACGGAGAGCCTGCTGGAGGACAGGAAGGAAGAACTGGACAAGAGCCTGCCGGTCAGAAGGCACTTACCCATTTTATTCAAAGGGAAGTTAAAGCACTGAAAAGACAAGGGACTTGCCCAAGGCCACACAACCAGTTAGCTGCAGAGCCAGAACATGAATCCAGGGCAAGTGTTCATCCCCATGCACCACTCAATAAATGTTTGCTGCATTTCATTTCTGAAGTAATCAAGGCAGAAGCGAAGCAGAGCACACTGTGCTGGAAAGAGGAACCCAAAAGGAGAATTCTTAAGGGGAGAAATTCAGGAAGCAGCTGTTCTGGGGCTAGGGTTTGGCTGAAGAATGGTTCCATCCGATAGCCTAGACAAAGGAAGTGTCTGACGAAAAGAACTCCACTCTGGAGCAAAAACGGTTCAATCTGTATCCTCCTCTGCTACTCACTGGCTATGTGAGGAAAATCGGTTAACCTTTGGGAGCTTACGATTCCGTGAAAGAATGCCAAATAATGAGGACTAAAATGTGACAGAGAAAGCAGTTTTGCATAGCACTCGGCCCTGCAGGAACTCAACAATGTCCATTTCCTTTCCATTTCACTGTTTCATACTGATCTTTAAAACCAGGTGAAGGAAGGCAATAAATCCTGTGGTGGAAACTGAGGTTCGGGGACTTTCACAGAGGCGTGGCAGGGCCAAGGTCTGAAACCCGTCTTCTGCTCCCAGGTAGAGTTCCTTCTCCCAAGGGAGAAGCGACAGCCCGATGAAAAGGAACCTCTGGAAGACGGGATAAATATATGGGGTGGGGAGAGAAGGGGGGCTCCAGGGAAATGCAGGTGTCACAGATGCCCAGTCCCTGCCCTGCCTCCCGTCCCGGCACATCTGGAAAGGGGGAGAAAGCACGAAGGGGGAGGGCAGAGCCCGAGTTCTGCGGCTGGCGGTGCCCCTGGGCCTCCCCTCCCCCCGCAAAGCCCCTCCTGCAGGAACTCAACACCCGCAACATCCCTTCCCGGTCCTGCGGCGTCTGGTCCGCCTGCCGCTCCCCCTCACCGCTCGGAGCCGGGCGGAGGCCGGCGCCCCCCGCGACGTCACGCGTGGAGCAGCGAAGGGGCGGGGTCCGTGCTCCCCCCACCAACCCCCACCCACACGGTGGGGATTCGCATGCGCGGTGTCTACGCGAGCAGCCGCCCGGCCCCTCCCCGGCCGGCTGGGGGCGTACCAAGAAGGAACACAGTGAAGGGGCAACGGAGAAGAAAGTACTCCGCGGTAGGTGAGTAAGAGGGAGAGAAGGCAAAGGAGCTGATTGTGGGGACGTTGTTAGAACTGTAAAGCCTCACTCCGGAGACACTGTGGGGCGTTTCAACGAGAATCGCGTCGCAGGCGTTTTTCTGTTGCTCGTCTCCCTCCCGCGCCGATCGCACAGCCCGGCCGCTCCCAGGTTCCGGATCGGAGTTTGGGGTCCGCCCGGGGGCGGGACTCCAGCCCTGAGATTCTGACCTTCCGCACTCTTTGGGTGCTGCTGTTCTCTGCAGGCCGAACGTCTTGGCCCCTGGTTTTAGCGAGTCCTTAATGCATAGGATCCTCCAGCTGCCAGACTGCTCAAGAGAGACCATCTCGTTTCATTTCTGCCCGTATTTTAGAGATGAGAACACCGAAGTCCCCCTTACCTGAAATAGCAGGACGCATGGAGCCAGGAACCTGGGGTTCAAATCCTAACTTTGTGCCTGCCTCTGCACAAGCCATAACCGTGCTCTTTTGGGGATTTGAGTTTGCTAAAGGGGTTCCACCCACCTACCTCACTGGTTGGATGGGAAGCTTAAGAAACAAAGTGTGGGAAAACATGGGCCCAGTGTGCACTGAGCACAAAACCGCGCTGGACAAAAATGCTCTTGAAACAAAATCTTAGTACTCAACTCTACCGAGGCTCCGTTAAGACAGAGACAAGGTCATTCCTGTACCACCCGCTCCCCAAAAGTTTATAGCCCCAAATCCTTTCCCATGCGGTAAAATGATATTCAACAAGGGTGCCAGGACCATTCCATGAAGTAAATCTACTCTTTTCAACCAACAGTATTGGGAAACCTGGATATTCACCTGTGAAAGAATGAAGTTAAACCTTTACCTTATATACCATATACAGAAGTTAATTCATAATGCACCAAAGAACTACATGTAAGAGCTGAAAGTATAAAACACTTAGAAGAAAACAGGAAAGCTTCATGACATTGGGTTTGGCAATGATTTCTTGGGTATGACACCCAAAGCACAGACAGCAAAAGAAAAAAGGTAAGTTGGACTACATTAAAATTTAAAATTTCTGTGCCTCAAAGTACGCAGCAGAGTGAAAAGGCAACCCATGGAATGGGAGGAAATATTTGCAAAGCATGTATCTGCTAAAGAGTGAGTAATATATAGAATATGTAAAGAACTCTTACAGTATAACACAGCAACAAAAATCCTTGTTAAAAAATAGGCAAAGGAATTGAAGGTATTTCTCCAAAGATATACAAATGGCCAATAGGCACATGAAGAGAAACTCAACATTACTAATCATTAGGGAAATGCAAATGAAAACCACAATTAGATACATCTCACAGCTATTGGATGGCTACTATTTAAAAAAAAAGGAAAGTGTTAACAAGGCTGTGGAGAAATTAGAACCCTTTTGCCTTGTGGGTGGGAACTTAAAATGGTACAACCACTAGGGAAAACAGAATAGTGGCTCTTCAGAAAATTAAAACTAGAATTATGAGAGGCACCTGGCTGGCTCAGTTGGTGGAGTGTGTGATTCCTGATCTCGGGGTTGTGAGTTTGAGTCCCACATTGGGTGTAGAGATTACATTAAAAAAAAAAAATCCTAAAAAAAACAGAATTACCATACTATCCAGCAATTCCACTTTGGGGTATATACCCCAAAGAATTGAAAGCAAAATCTCTAAAAAATATTTGTATACCCATGTTCATAGCAGCATTATTCACAAGAGCTAAAAGGTGGAAGCAACCCAAGGGCCCATCAACAGATGAATGGATAGACAAAATATGGCATATACATACAGTGAAATATTATTCAGCCTTTAAAAGGAAGGAAATTCTTTTTTTTTTAAGATTTTATTTATTTATTTATTTAGAGATCACAAGTGGGGGGGTGGGGGGGCAGAGGGAGAGGGAGAAGCAGGCTCTCGGGCGGAGAAGGGAGCCCAATGCGGGGCTGGTTCCCAGGACCCCAGGATCATGACCTGAGCCACCCAGGTGCCCCTAAAAGGAAGGAAATTCTGATACATACTATAACATGGATGAACCTTGAGGACATTTTGCTAAGTGAAATAAGCCAATCACAAAAAGAGAAATACTATAAGATCTCACTGATAAGAGGTATAGAGTAGTCGAATTCATAGAGACAGAAAGTAGAATGGTGGCCGCCAGGGGGTGGGGGGTGTGGGGACAGGAATGGGGAGTTACTGTTGTTTAATGCGTACAGAGTTTCAGTTTTGCAAGATGAAAAGAATTCTGGAGATGAATGATGGTAATGGTTGCACAGGTGAATGTAATTAACACTACTGAATTTCTACACTTAAAAATGTGGGCGCCTGGGTGGCTCAGTCATTAAACGGCTGTCTTCGGCTCAGGTCATGATCCCAGGGTCTTGGGATGGAGCCCACATCGGGCTCTCTGCCCGGCGGGAAGCCTGCTTCTTCTCCCACTCCCCCTGCTTGTGTTCCCTCTCCCGCTGTCTTTTTCTCTGTCAAATAAATAAATAAAATCTTAAAAAAAAATGTACACATAAAAATTGTTAAAATGGTAAATCTTTATGTTATGTATATTTTGTCACAATTAAAAATAACAATCATTAAAAAAAACAAACAAACCCTGGTGTGTGTTGGGGAGGGGAATTTACGGCACAGTCTCCTAGAGTATAGTGGCTGATGAATGCCATTGACTGACTTAATTGAAATTCCAAGCATAGGAAGTATTTTCTTCTCAAAGGAAAAATAAGGGTGGCTGACAGAAAGTTTTAAAACCTAAGAATTGGAAGGCACTCAGTAACTGAACAAGGCCAACAATAACCATCCCCACCCCCACTTTATTTTCCAGATGCTAAACTGATGTCTTGGAGAGGTTAAGGGACTTGCCCCAAGTCTCCCAGCCAGTTAAGCCTCATCCAGAACTAGAGCCTAAGTGTCCCAACACTGAATCTAGTCCTTTCCAACCAGATCCTCCTTGCTCAGTCCTGCCAAGAGATCTCTCCTGAAAACCTGCAAAAGTCTCTGCCCATCCAACTCTCAGTCATACCTGGCCTAGTCTGAGCCAGTGAGGTCACTTTTTCCCTAGTCTTAGTCTTGTCTACCCAGCCAGCACCTCAGTTCCTGAAATAGTATGCTCCACAAGCCCCAGGTCTTTTCATAGTTTGAGCACAGTATTTACTCAATAAATATTTGTTGTTTAATGTATTGAAAATGACTTCTTACAGGCCAGTTTGCCAGGGGAACTTAGCAATTTTCAGTTTCATTTTAAAGTTGGGAGCACGTTGCCCGCGCTGAATGTTTGTGAAATTTAGGTTAAAAGGTAAAAGAAAGTTTATTCGGTCAACAGTTATTTTTTAGTGCTACTAAAAATAGCACTAAATTTTGGGACTACTATGGTCCAGGCACAAAATTAATATCCATATGGCAAAAGCTTTGTCAATGTTTCCACTTAATGACAAGTCTAATTTGTCGGGCAAGATAAGGCATGAAAATGCCCAGTGTAGTACTGGTACACAATAAGAAGTCAACAAATGTGAGTTTCCCTTCATTATTCTTGTACTACAGAGTAATTAGGCATATTTGGAGAGCAGTTCTTGTAAATGACCACAATTGATATTTACTTATGTAGCCCAATGAACAAATTCTACGGACCACTAGAGACAAACTGGTTAGAGCAAGGAACTGCCTGAAGGCCTGGAAATCAGGGTAAATGGATGTAAACAAATGTCTTATATAGAAAAAAAAAGTTGGGGTGGGGAGGAGCACAAGAGGACACAAAATTGTTGGTGCATTGTAATCTGCCAGGATTATACCAATGTTCTGATCTGGTAATCCACTCATCAGGTCCTGAAGGTGGATGTTACTGGAGAAAACTGGTCCTAGACAGCTTAAATAATTCAAACAAGGTCACACAGTAGTAGGAGGCAGAAGCTGGCTTATGATTCAAGCCTGACTACAAACAAATGTGAGAATCAGAAAGCCAATCGAGAAAGGAATCACCCAGTCTTTTGGAAGGAATTGGGAGAGGGGTTCCTCCATCACTCCACAATGATAAGATTCTTCTAGGTGCCCTGGCCCAGATAAAAGCTCTCAGGGATCTGTTTGATTTTTTTCCTTCTGTATTATCAAGCTCTAAAACTCTTTGGAGTAGCGGACCTCTGTGAAAATACGATGAAAGCTTTTCAGTCAGTCAGATATTCATTCAATAAACATCTCTGAGCTACCAGGAAGTATTCTGCGAGCTGGGAATACAGTGGTGGACAAAGTATTCAGGATCCCTAGCCTTCTGGAAAGTAAAATCTGCCTATGGACCTTCTCCATGGAAAAAGGCACTTTTGCCTGAATGTTTATATAGTTTCAATCAGCAGAACCTCAGTCATCTTGGAGCCTATCCTTGGACAAGAGCCCCTACATATTTCATAAGGTTCCTTCAATTGGACTTCAATTTTGTGTTTAGTTTCATATCAGGACTTCTTGACAAAGTCAGTCTTTTTCCTTTTAGTTCTTGGTTTTATCCTGTGGTATTCATCTATTCAATCAACTAATTCATTCATTCAACAAACACTTGAACACCTGTTTAATGCCAGGCACTTGGTTAGGCACTGAGGGAAGCCACATTTCCTACCAATGAAAAGCCTTAGTGAAACAGATGCACAAAAAATTATGATAAAATGTCAAATACCATAATAGATAGATGATACCATAATATAAAAAAACAACTACTCTCTTCTGAATAACGTCTAAATGGGTCAAAC